TTTAAAATATGGATTTTTAAATTTTATATTAAATTTTAGTTTCCAAATATATGAATCAATATTTAATAAAATAAGTTTTTTAAGTTTAAATTAGATTTTAATTAAATAAAATGATGTTATTTAATGTTAAGACTCTAATTTTTTTAAAAATCAACACTAATACATATTAACCTCAAACTAAAATAATAAGTTATTTTGATAAAAAAAAATAGTCTACTATACAAAAAGTAACCAATTTTAGACACCCTTTTTAACTTTAAAATAATAATAATAATAATAATAATAATAATAAACTACTAATAAAAGACTTAATTAAGCTCCCAACTAAGCTTCTCATCATTGGCCATGCGCCAAACTAAAGCATGGCCTTAAGAACCAACTTTGGCTCGCCTTTTGTAAACCTCTGGGGGTTGCTGCCAGCGTGCCCCATCACATTGCAAGGGGTAATAAATGTATTTTTGAAGTACTACTAGAAAAGAGGAGGAGAATATGGTCAGCATAAGTTCCTTTTGTAAAAACTATAAGGAAATATAAATTTTACTTTCAGGTGGTCTATAAAAGTTAATAATATGCAGGTTAATTCAAACACACATCTGATAGGCATGCCATTTATGCCTTTGCGTACCTCAAATAGATGGTGGTATTAAATATCTCTTTTCAACTTCAAGTGGCAAAAGAAGGCACTGACATATGCCTTGAATTTGAACATGCAGTAGGAATGATTGCTAGTTGCTAGTATAACCTACCTTGCAGTGCTTAAAAGATGCATTAATTCTTCTTCCATTGTCACAGGAACCAAGCAAGGCTGCAGCGGAACCTCATGTACCTTGCTGCAATTGCAGATTCTCAACCCCAGCCACCCACCATACATGCTCAGGTATGAATGTGATTTTAGAAATTTCAATTTTTTTGGTAAAGTAGTTGTTTGGGACTTGTGAATAGAAAGTGAGAGCCAGAGCTAAGTGTAACTTTAAGACAGCAAAGACAGATGGGGCTTGGGGGATGCTTCTCCACTGGCATTTGAATGTATTTTCCAAGGAATTTGCTCCCCTCAAAGATTCAACTTATTTTATAAAACTCCCCAACTTTTGTATTTTCACTCTGTGATTTATACCTTGCCTTAAAACTGAAGAGACAGAACTGGGCATATATCAACTGTGTCTCACAAACTGTATATGCATCTTTATGACTTGATAAGTCTTTCAATAAATACAGTTATCATCGTCTACCGAAACTTTGTCCTACCATGTGAAACAATATGAAAATATGATGCAGATTTTTTTTGTGTGCTTTATTGTTCATACTGATTTTTGTACCATTATTACAAGTGAATTCCAGTACAATAAATGCCTCTTCTACTATAGGCATGTAGTTTCCTTCATCTATATACATTTTCTTTTCTTCTATAATTTCCCCAAAACTCCAAAAATATAATATCTTTTTATTGATTTTGGAACTTTTATTGCTGAAACTTTATTTTAAAAAACGTGTGTAAATTTTACAAGGCATTGACCATTGGTAGATTTATAATTTTAGGCATTGTGTTTGTCAATTGCTGCAGTTCTCTTCTGGTGGCATTATGCAGCCGGGATCGCCCTACATGCAGCACCAGCAAGCACAACAGATGACACAACAATCACTTATAGCTGCACGGTCCTCCATGTTGTATGCTCAGCAACCTTTTTCAGCATTGCAACAACAGCAAGCTTTGCACAACCAGCTTGGCATGAGCTCTGGTGGAAGCACAGGACTTCATTTGCTGCAGAGTGAGGCCAGTACTGCAGGAGGCAGCGGAGCACTTGGGGCAGGAGGGTTTCCCGATTTTGGACGTGGTTCTTCTGGAGAAGGCATGCATGCTGGTGGGAGCAAGCAAGATATCAGGACTGCTGGGTCAACAGAAGGTCGTGGGGGAAGTTCTGGAGGTCAGGGCAGTGATGGGGGCGAGACACTTTACTTGAAAGCTGCTGATGATGGCAATTGAGTGATAAGAATACGTCTGAATCCAGGAGAGCTTAGGGTTTAGTTAAGATGAATTTAGGAAGGAAAAGGCAAGATGGCAGATGAACCTATTGCTTGAAGAACTTGGTTATCTTAGCAAAAACAATATTAGAATTCAGCCTTAAGACCTATGGCCTTGTGCTTCTTTTGTTGTGTGACCAATAGCTCATCTATGGTTATATTATTATGTATATTTGTAGTTATCTTGGTTGCTTTTTCCAGCATTTTTCTCAGGCGTTGTTTATAGCATCACCTCCTCTTGTTCTGCAGCCTAACACATAAACCAAGTTGAGCCCATGTTAAGTGGGGATATCCCACACCAGTCAATTAAGGCGTATCCTGTGGATTTAGATACATAAGGTGCCGCTCGCTGGTGGCTGAAGTTAAACTACGCTCAAGATTTGCTTCTTTCCCCCCTTAGCAGTATTTGACAAATCTTTTTCATAGTGAAAAAATACAGAGATTTTGTCAATGAATATAAGTATTGGACAGGAATCCTTAACATTACATGAAAAGTAAGCAAACCCTCCTAGTGTCATACCTCTCTCTAAAGTGGAAAATAAAGAAAGGCCATAATTAATCAAACAAAAATGTAAGGAGATGGAAGTTTTCTGGGAGACTCCTCAGGAGAATTCCTTCATCCAACTCCATTAACATATTGTTCGAGAATGGTCCATGTGCATTTTCTCTATCAATCCCTGTAACGGAAACTTTTTCTGCTTGCATGTCGGCTGGTACATGATCATTCCCCGAGTTTTGGAAACTCGAGTCTAGGTTGGTTTCTGCATGATCATTTCTAGGACATTCAAAACCCGAGTCTCTGCCAGTAAGCTCCTGCACGATTGCCCGGAAGTCTGCTGCAGTAGCCTTGACCATCTTGGGGCTAGAAATATATGTGATCCTGATGGGATTTTTCTTGATTTTTCTGGAGTTTTTGCTCTTCTGTTGATTCCTCAGCTTTCCCATTTGCATAGATATTGAGAAGAAGAATGCAAGTTCTGTTGGGTATGGATTGATGCATTTGTTTTTATAGACTGGTTTGGGTATTGGACAGAGCTTCCAAGAAGAGGAAAGAGGGAACTTGGGAGAGGAGGACCAGATAGGAAAGACTAGAAAGAGACTGCGTCCACGCTTGGTGGGCGAGAAACTTTGCCTTTCTAAATTGGCTGCCCAATGACTTTATTCTAGGCCTTGATAAATGATTATTTTAAGAAACCATTTTACAAGATAAATGATTACTTTAACAAACCATTTTACAAGTAAAGAAAAGAAGACATGTTTAAGGCAATGACTCCCGACGTAGACGTAGCTCTTTAAGTTTTAATCTCAGAATAAATGAATTTTGCTTACTTTATTCATTCCCCTAAGAAAATTCATATAACTCAATAATTGATATGGGATAAGTGTTTATTAAGTGGGTTTTTAAAAAATTAGGTGAAAAATATTTTAAAATTGAAATATATTTTTTTAATCAAAATATCATGAGAAAGATTAAAATAATATCATTTTTACTTTAAAAAGTATGTTATTTTATTGTCTTTTTTAATAAAAAATTATTAAAATGAGGTAATTT